TTTTCTCTCCTCTAACTTGACCTACTTTTTTCAACGATACGTCAAATGACTACAATTCGTATCTAGTTGAAGATATTACCCTCAAAAATTGAAAAAAAATTTTAATTTATCAATTAAACAGTTAGTTATTCCATTTCCTCCATACAAACAATTAAAATCATTAATTTCTAATGTTTTCAAAGTATTTATTGACGAATCAAGTTTGACATGATAGGTTTCAACTACAAAATTTAATCATTTTACTTTGTAAATTAATATTTTTTTTACTCTATTTGTGTGTGCTACTACTAGACTATAATATTACAAATTTTTTTGTAACATGTTGCTATATAAATCATTTCTAAAAAAAAATGNGTTGCTATATAAATCATTTCTAAAAAAAATGATTGTTTTTTCTCCTGCATTAACAATTGATTTTTTCAAATATAATCAAATTTTATAATACGCTCATTGAGTAAATCTTTTTAACAACTTTGTTTTAATTGGTACATTTAGTTAAAGTAAATCATTAAAATTAATTAAGTTCTTAATATTTCAATTGTAGAATCTTTTCTACAAACAACAAAAGTTCCTAGGAAATTATTACTATTACTTCTATTTAAGTTATNAAAATTATTACTTTTACTTCTATTTAAGTTATCTATTACCATAAAAATGGAAAAAAATATTGAGCTTTTCTGATAAATTTACAATAAATAGTAATTATAAAACTTTCTGACTGCATATTGATCTTAACGATACAATTTTTTTAATTGTCATAAAATTTTGTCTATTTAATAATTTCAATGTCAAACTTACCAATTGAGCTAAAAGTTATGGTAAAATAAATTTTTTTTTATTATAAACATTTACAACAATCAACTTTAAACGATTAACAAAATAGGTTAAATATGTCATTTTCCTTATTTTTAACTTATTAATAATCAAATTAATATTAAATATTATATCAAATCAGTATTAATTTAAAACAATTTTTTTTGTTCTTAATTATTTTTTTTTATATGTAAAAACTATTTTTTAATAATATTAAAACTTAGAAGTTATAGAAAAAGTCTAATTGCACATTTTAAAACATCGCGAAAAGTTGATTTAGAATAGTATATTTTTGTTTCTGATGGAAGTTCCTTGTAGTCCAGTGTATAAAACTTATAACTTTGTTAATTGTTATAACTTTATCAAAAATGACCAAATCAGTATAATTTTTTTTTATTTAGATGCATGTCTTTATCTATCATTTGGTTTTTTTTTATAAATCTAACCCTTATCTACCCACAAGAGGGTTTCAAAATAATAACTTTTTTTTTTTAGTTAAAGTAAATCATAAAAATTAATTCAGTTCTGGATATTTCAATTGTAAAATCTTTTTAAATACCAAAAATTACTTAGAAATGATATTATGATTTCTATTTAAGTGTTCTATTACGATAAAAATGCAAAAAAATAATGAGTTTTTCTGATAAATATACTGTAAATAGTAATTATAAAATTATAAAATTTCCTGACTGCATATTAATCTTAAAAATAACATTGTTTTAATTCTCATAAAATTTTCTATTTAATGATTCATTCTAGTCAACGAAGGAGTAATTTTGNTTAATGATTCATTGCAGTCAACGAAGGAAAAATTTTGGAGAATAGCAGAAAAAATTCCCAACCAATTTTTTTTTTTTAAGTAGGAAATTGGTGTATTATTCCAAAAGCAACATCAACTCTTATTTCTTTAATTATATCCTGATTAGTAGTTCTTTGATTTTAAAATATAATATATGAATAAATACTAATTATAATTATTAAATTTAGTATGAAATTGATATTCAATAATTTAATATTGTAATTTAAACGGATAAATTATAAAAATAATAAAGAAGTTGTATTTTGCTTTATTTTTACGTGTATAAAAATTTAAAGGGCTTGATACAATAATTATCAATAAAAACTGTTTGTTACTATAAATGAATGCAATGGACTTCAAGGAACTTTCATCAGAAGCAAAAATATACTTTTCTAAATCAAAATTTCGCGTTGTTTTCAAATCTGCGAGTAGACTTTATCTATCAGTTCTAATTTTTTATATTATTACTAATTACATATAAAAAACTACTAATCAGGATATAATTAAAGAAATAAGAGTTGATGTTGCTTTTGGAATAATCCACCAATTTCTGTAAATGAAACACTATCTACAGATTTGCATCGAAGCGTTTCTTATGATAGTGATT